TGCAGAATGCTTTGCAGTTGAACGTGGTCTTAGCCGATTGATTTTCACCTGTTTATGATGTAGTGACTTTTTACCTGTCAAGCTGTGAGTCAGGCTGTAATGCCTGCAGCTGCTCTTAAGCTTTAGTGAGCTAAAGTTTTAACTGTTTGCACTCACTCATGCAGAATGCTTTGCAGTGAACGTGATCTTACACTACTGATATTCGCCTGTTTATGACGTAGTAACTTTTTACCTGTCAGGTTGCGGATCTGGCTGTAACGCCTGTAGCTGCTCTTCAGCTTTAGCGAGCTTGAGTTTTAGCTCGTTGCGCTCGTGAAGAATGGCGCGCAATTCACGAACGCTGAATGTGGGTTTGCACGACTGGTCCTCGTCGTCTGTGCCGTCGGGAGTTGTTGCGCCACACGCTGCGCACTTCTGGAACAGGACAATGACATTTAAACGATAAAAAAGTATAACGAAAAAAAGTTAATCAAGCTTATCCCATAAGGGCGCCTTCAAATTAGACGCTTATGTAGAAGCCCTGTAGTAGTAGCGGTAGAGCTCCTCGGAAAAGAGTTCGTCCAGTGTATATATAGTGTCCAGTGTATGTATAGTCTGCCGCCAAGCAGTAACGTTAGCATTAATGTGTTCCGATTTTGAAGGGCAAGGGTTCTGGTGAAATTAGAGGCACATGGGACTTGTCAACTTATGTCTCAGGGTGGCTCTGAGACATAAGTTAACAAGTCCCATGGGCCTATAATTTCACCAGTACCCTTCAAAACTGGAACACGGTAATGCTGAACATTACTGCTTGGCAGCTGAAACAGATAAGCTGGTAGTACTTCCCAGGACGAACTCTTACACAAGGAGGTCTACTGCTAGTATATCTAATTATAAAGTAATGTAACCATAATATTCTTTAACTAGGTATTTTCATTTTCAGTTTTCATTAAAATTTGTTTAATAGAAAGTGTTCGGATGTCGAGGCTCAAACTGCATGATTTTGTAACAGATTTCAGATTTCCGTACAATAGTGTGGTTCAACAGTAACGTAAAAAGTTCGTTGACGTGAACGTTAATAAAGTTGGCTGTATAAATGAACATTATTATTCAACATAGTATAGATATTGATCGACAAACCAAACTATTAAATTTTTTACTGTTTACCAGAGATCAGATCGGATTTTTTTGAGGGATAAACAGTTAAACATAACATAAAATTAACTTACTTATAACTAAATCCCTTAAATTTAATTTAAACAAAAGAAAAAAATAAACCGGAAACTGATACACGCATATATGGGTATAACAATAAAACTAAACTAAATATTTTTTGCCTGAGTTACACATCAAAAATATAAGACAAAATAACAGATAGAAGAAATAAAATATTAGGAAGATTGAAGTTTGAGTACTTCGGCAACTCCGATCTCTGGGAGATAAGCTAGAATGTAGGGATAATATATTTTATTACCAATGGTATTCCCAAAAAAGGGGTAAATTCTATCATAACCCTATGCACTCTAGGTTCAATTTTGCCGGCGCCGTAGCCTTTAACGGTTACGTCTTTCACTTCCTATAGATAAATAAACACTTACTTGGTTCTGTGTGTTGGCTTGCTGTAGTGCGGATATATCCCTCTGTTGAGATTGAACTATGGCGGTCAACTCTGAACGCTCCTCGCATATTAGACGCATCTGGAGTACATACATTGTTTTGTTAGTATATTTCAATCAACACACGCAAGCACGCACGAACGCACGACCGCCCCAGAACGCACGCACGCACGCACGCACGCACGCACGCACGCACGCACGCACGCACGCTCACACGCACGCACACACGCACGCACGCACGCACGCACTGTGTGTTATAAAAGCTAAGCTAAATGCACTGTAATCCAAACATTTTGAAATAAACACGTATAATTATTATTGTTATACAGGGTGTGTCACGGCTATGCCGCACGGAGGGAAACTACCTTAAATACTGTAGATCATTGACTTACAAATAAATGGACGACGGGTCTAATACAAAAAACCACGAAAAAAATGTCCCAAGTCAACCTATTCGAAATTTAAATTGTAATGTCATCGCAGTATCGCGCTGTCAGTAGAACAAATGAAGACTAAAGCGGAGTGTAGCGCTCTGTATACGATTTTAGCGCCTTACAAGTGCGGACACTTTTTGACGCGGACCCGACGTCCATATAATTGTAAGTCAATGCTGTAGATGGAAAATTTTATTAAATGAAAACTTCATTTTGATTTTAAAAACAATTCGAACTGCATTCAAAGATTTTTAAATAATCGCCTGTCTGGTCCGGGAATAGATTACGCCAAATATAAAAAAAAAACACTTGTAATTTTACTATACTGATCGAGAGCCTTAAAGAATTGTCTTCTTCTAAATAAAATAGCATCTAAAATAAAAGGAAGAAATTTAACAGTATATCGATAAATCGAATCCGTGCAAATAATATTTCGCCAACTACTTCAGTATAACCACGCAGGACTGCCACGCTCGAGGTCGCAGGTTCGATTCCCGGACCGGGAAAAATATTTGCATGGCCTACATTTATTTCTCTTGTGAGTTTGGGTGTAATTTGTGGCTGTCTATGTGTGTCCATGGCACCATGGCACTATGTTGAGTATGTGCGTTATTATTGTAACCGTTCGGTCAAGGAGGCAGTCGAATACAATCTCGTTAAAATGGTATTCTTTGGTTTTTAATGGTTTTTAGTAAACAAAAAAACATAATCCTAATCGAAATGTCGCCGAGGTGTACCTCCAACTCATTAATCGTCGTTAATATAATCATCAAACTATATCCACACGTTTTTATAATAAATTATATGTATATATACGTATATAATTTATTATAAAAACGGTCCACAGTGAAAGCTACGCTACAATTTGACTTCAACTACGCTTTAAACTGCACACGGGTGTAATTATAGATACATTAGGACAAAGTTTGTAAAAGAAAGGCTACTTGACATTGATTGATGAACCTATATATTGCGCTCAAATCATGGAAGTTAAATACAAGAAATTGCTTTGGTCAATATTTGAAGTAACTTGTCCTTCATCTCAACACCTATATACACCGGCACATTTAACGGAACACTATTAACAGCACCGAAATAACGTGTTTTGTTTTCAAAAGTCTGGTCGCTTATTTAATTTTGGTATAATTTGAAAATAAATAAAATTGTCGACTGTCATTTGTTTTCATTCACTTGTTTCAATTTCCTTCTAAAACAGATTTTTGTCGAATGGTTCCAGATAGATTTTGCATCCTCGTAAATTTCGCAAACATTACTCGAAAGTTTTCTTCACCCCTCATGGAAGAATGGCATAAGTGAACTTACGTCAAAAATGTTCATTGCTCCATTGGATACAGAAAAATATAACCTAGATCCTCTCCAATGCTTGCAACTCTCCTCTTTGACGGCCTCTGTGGCCGAGTGGCTTGCACACCGGTTTCTATGGTGTCGCCATCTCTGAGATCCCGGGCTTGATCCCCGGCCGGGTCAGTGTAGAAACTAACTTTTCTATACTGTCTCGGGTCTGGGTGTTTATGGTACCATCGTCGTTGTTTCCGATTACCATTGTGACGGTGTGACCTCCTTACACCGTCTTCTCACCTGTTTATATTGCCTCTCTCTTCTTGTACCTATCTTTTTTTTTTATTTTACTTGTATTTAAATTTTAAATTTGAATTGTTCTATCTTCCTTCACTTTCTCAATTTGTTTTCGTACCACGGTCACTCCCAGCTCGACCGCCACAACAATTGGTGCTGTTCCAAATTCCATTTACTAAAATCTTATTTTTGATTCTTTACCAAGGTACAATACAAACATATAATGCAACAGTCGGACCAAAAAAATTATCAAAAATTTGCTGCAATGGTTTTTCGACCAAAAATGAAGCCATAAACCCGAATGTAATGGTGCCGCTATTGAAACGAATATAAAGATTTGTACAGACGCTTTCTGGCGCTTTTTACTGGCGCCCGAACTAATTCTCAAGAACCCTTTCATTGGCCGAACTTTAAGAAGAAAACCCCAAGCTAAAAT